CTTGCCTAATTCACCTGAACCCCAGCTGGGAACTCTCCCACAAAACAGGCAGGATTTAGCAGTACACTGTCTTTATATCAGTAAGAAGGAGTTAGGAGCAAGAATTCAGTTAACCAGAGGCAGAGAGGCAGGCAATCACATTAGCAGGGGGTGTTGAAGAAAAGTTGCCCCCTTCCTGCTCCTGCATCAGATGCAAAAACAGAAACACTGGCTACTTAGGAGCAGAAGCTCAAGCTCCAAAACAAGGTTACCTGTGCAGCAGCACGTTTCCGTTTCCTCTAAATAAGGGGACAGGGAAAGGAATGGCTGAGCTACAGCCCCGTGTCACCTGAGGAAACCAGATCCAGTGAATTTGTTAAAAACAGGGTTTTTTAAATTGTAGTATCAGCTATATGTTTCATTCACAAGACAAGCCTCTGGGACAGCTGCTGTACAGACACAGAAACACAATAGGCATCAAATGTGGCTCCTTTGCAAGCCCTTAGTTGCTTCCCAACCCTTCACAGACCTTCTGCTACCCACCAGCCAAGGGTCACTCCTTCTGCCTGTATGCTCCTGCACAGCTGCAAAAAAACACAAGTGTAGTTCAAATAGCCTTCCAACAGCTGATCAAGAGGGAGGCAATCACTGCTCTGGGAAAGTGCCTTCAAACATCTGTGCTGATTGCTCCACTCTTGGATGAAGATGAGTTTTGCCCCCAATCAGTCAGCAACAAAATCATCTGAGAACTGATTCAGCACGTAAACTTCTGATCAACATAAGCTAGCTACCTATGTAAATTTGTTTCAATTATGCCAGAATAAAAGACCTGCAAACCCGAGGTTTTCCTGCAGCCTTTGTTTTCTGTAAGAAATTCTCATTTCTCTTGGCAAGAGCTCAGCTGAACTGCAACACAAGTAATGAACAATCAGCAAAAATAAATACTGTTTTGTAAACACATTGAAGTATGTTCAGCAAAGGTGATTAATGGAAGAATAATCAAACAAACATCAATATTTAAGACAGCAGAAGGGCTTGAACATTCTAGAGTTGCTTTACAAAAAAAAACCTAAATACTTCCTCTGGCAGCAATTCCTTTCCAAAACCAGAAATCCATACCCCAACCCATCCCTCCCCTCCAGCCATCAAAGCTCTTCCTCAGGAGAAGGCAAGGGGTGAAGAACGATTTCACAGTTTTTCTCCATTACTTTGTCCACATCTAATATCTGTAATCTTGTCCATACGTTGCACACAGCTAAGACCCTCTGTACCTTCTTATGTCTCCAAGTAGCAGTATGCACCAGTTCGTCAAAAGGAGAGCCTTATGACCTCCTGAACTCATTGCTCATCTTTTCAGCTTGGGTCTCATCCAGTGCAGTTTTTCTCGTTTTTTGTGGTTTTTTTTAAACTCATTTAATTAATCTGTGATTCAGCTCTAAAAGCAACTGAAAAAATACAGACTCTGCGAATCAATTACATCTACAATTACCACCCTGCAGCCTTCCCATCACCAGCAGGACCGCACCACTGCAAGTGTATTTGGGTCTCTTTAGCTTATGTTGTCAACATCCCCTCCTTTACAGTAGCATGGGCTCCAGAGCCTTTAAAGGCCTATACAGGAAGCAACTAAAGTTGAAGTTACAATAAAACCTATGCCAGTGCAGGAAGAAGGAAAGCATAGACCAGGGCAGATAAAACATGGATTGGCCAAACCCCCAGATGGGTGAAGAAAGAAACTTCAGTGGCATTACATCAAGTTTTCCAGCATTTTAGCATCTGACCCTCAACTTCAGTTTAATACTATCCACTAAGGAGGAGACCACTATTAAGAGACTTGAAATTGGCCAGTCAGAATTGAAACTGGGCATTTTCCTCAAAGAACAGTTCAGACAGCATGAGCTGAACCGAGGCAAAGCCAAAAGCTATTGGTCTTTAGTGGCACCAAATCACCACTCTGAAAACCAGCATAGAAATTCACAGAGCAACTGCTTTCATTTCTGTTATTAACTAGTACACCAATTTATTATGGTGAATAATGAACCTTAACACTGGTCCTTCATAAACATCTCCCAAAACAGTCACAATTTACCTCCAGATGTCCCAGAGCAGTCACTGATAAATGGGCCGTGTTGCCAAAGGAGGTGTAAAAATCCAAGTAGTTCAGGTTTTTCACAGTAACTACTGCCTTGCTGCCTATATTAACTGAGAGAGCAAGCATGTTATATATAAGGAGATTAGACCACATCATATTTACAACTTCAGTGTCATCAGCAAGAGCAAATGCTTAACTGGTACTGTCAGTGCCTTTTTCAAACATGAACCCTGCTGACAAGATGATGAATTCAGAACATGATTGCCAATTACTGATCTGTAGGCAGAAGGGATTTCAATAGTTCCTGTATGTTTGTGAGGGTGACTAGGGTTTACATCACTTCTAGTATGGAAGTGAAGTCTGCTCTGCTCAGATGTGAACTAGAACCTTGAGAAATGAATTTTTGCAGGAGAAATCTTAATAAACAAAACCAGGTTTTTAAGGTTGAAAATTATTCCCAAAGCATGGTCATTAATAACATGCTTATGCCCAAGAGAAAGCAAGCAGAGAGGCCACTTGCAAGATGCACTCAAGTGATTCACAAACCAAAGGTCAGAAGTTATTTAGGTGTTTGTCAAAGCTACACCACAGAGAGCCAAGAACATCATTATGTCAGCCAGGAGCATGGAGTGCATTTCCTAAACACCAGTCAGGCTGGGGGTCGAGGGGGGGAGGTGGTGGAGCAAAAAAAGAAAGCATCTCCAAACACACAGGACCTTTCCAGATATTAACCTATGCTGCTTACGGGCTTCAAAGCTTAACTACTTTCTTAGAAAAAAAAAATCTCATCCTTGTAAATATAACAGTAGCCAAACCAGAAAGCATTTTACTCACACCGGATATAAGCATGAACTCCAAACAGCTGAATGCTGAACCTTCTGAATGGCCTAAGGCTCAATGTCTCCTATCGACTTAGCATCTCAGAGCCAGCCAGCAGGGAATGCTTGGCACGAAGACCTGGGTTAAACGTGGGACATCCAAGTGGTGCCCTCAAACAGACTTTGCCGTAGGCAGTCAGATCCCAACATCCCATTGATTTGGTGATCAAATTTAGGGCTTTCCTACAGACGAGAATTACGGGCTTTAACAGCTCTAGAGCAATTAAAGTGATAAACTCCTCCTGAGGGTACGGGCTGTAGGTGAAGTATAAGAGTATTTTATGTGGTTATGCCTTATGACAGAAGTGCAAAGGTACATCATCACAAATCATCTTTATACTTCCAAACTCTGATCACAGTCCTAACCAACACAGTCATAAATTGTGGGACCAGATGCTGTCCTCTCAATTGACTAAGGAAAACAAATTTAAAAAACAACCCACACCCCAAAATGGAAAGTAGAGCCTCAGATCACTAAGGTCTTCTGAAAACACATGCTGCATTAATATCTCAACACTATCAAAGATCCAACCACCCTACAGGTGCAGGAAGATCTTGAAAGATAGTCTCAGGTTTCTAGTTTAAACCACTCCAGCTTTTTTGTTCGTGGGTTCTTTTGTGGTTTTGGTTTTTGTCCGTTTTTGTGATCTTTGAGAGTGCTTTGAGATATCCCATGCAATTCATGCAGTATAGAAGAGCAGGATTTGAAATTGTGTACTAATGGATGCACCCTTTTCCTCCAAAAATTCTAACAGGTGACTGAAGTCAGTGTCTAGACATAGGACCCAATGAAGCAGATCCTTGCTGATCTATCTAACCCACGTTTGTGCTTGGGGTAATGTTGATCTTACCTCCCCTTGTGCAGCATTCAAACATCAAGCCCAAGTCTTCCTCCCTCCTAAATGGGAAAGTTATCTTTATTGGCACAGGAAAAGCAAAACCAAGTCAGATTTTGCTGTACTGATTACATCTGCAGAAAAACGAGACTACCCTAGTCAAAAAGCACACTCCACATACTGTTTTCCAGAGGTTCCTCCAAAAGAAACACACCTACGTTTTCTCTCCAAGTCAACCCTTGAAGAGACTTGAACTATGTACTCTTAAAGGCCACGGTGTGTGACTGAGGACTAAAGGATCAAAGCCACAGTTTGCTTTGGGTATGCACTGATTTGTCCTTTGCACCAACAAATGTCTGGAGTGAGAGGAATAAAAAAATGCAACACCAGCCTCCGATGGAACAGAATTCCTCTGTCTTCCTCACATACTATCAATTACTAAGTGGCTGCAAGTACAAGGCATTTAAGATGGGACTGATGACCAACATATAATAATTTTTCAAAAAGCAAAACTGCACTGAAATCTTCTCTTCTTTCCATTTCTCTTTTATGTCCCAATAGGTTTTAAGTTACTGGTTACATATGTACAATGGAAGGCCAAATTTTATAAACAAGCAAGTAATACAGCAAACCATAAATGAGATTATAACCCTTAAGAATACGTTGCACTTACTTAAGAGTATTTTTTTTTTAGGTCTTGAGCTTCAGATAGCCTACATCTCTTGCACAACCCCCCTCATGATTCCGGAGTCCTATACCAATCAGCAATTCAGGAACCTCTGCCAGCTACTTGTGTGAAAATTCAACCTTCATAAGGAGATTAACATCAAGTGCTCCCTGGATCGGTCCAGAAAAAAGAAGCCAAGCTTCTAAAACTTGCAAGGAAACCCCAACAATGAGAAAAAAATAACATGAACCTATAAATAACAGATAAGATCGCAATCACCCAACAGCACAGTGCTCCAAAGGAAATAGTGGTATGACAGATTATCCTTGTCTACTGTAAGCACCAGAAAGACTTCTACATAGGTGTCAAGTCACACTACATTCAGCCAAGGCCTCTTTCTTCATGCTGCCATGGCCATTCAAAGGGTCCCAGTGAAAGTGAGAACCCAACCCACATCAGCCAGGCATGAAGAACATGGAAGAGAAGAAAGCCAAGACTGCACTTCACCTCAGCAGCTTCAGCACAGCACCCTCCCTGCAGATCCTTACCTTGGCAGGTGTTGTTCTTCTCCTCGTACCCTGCCTTGCACAAGCACTTCCCGATGGGCACCAGCCATTCCCCCTCAGCACTGCAGTGCATCTTCGGCGCCTCCTCAGTCACTGAGTGGTTGACACAGACACCAGACACCTCCAGCAACTGCGAAGAATCCGCTCCTGTGATGGTGTCAGGAAAGTGGGCCAGGTTGCGAATGACTGATGGGCATTTCTTGTAGTACACGCGCACAGAGACCAGGGCGATGCAGGCGCCCACGTCCTGGAAAGCGAGGTAAAATCCCTTTTTTGACAGGGGCCCAACATCTCTCACCTCTGTGTTTAGCTTCATAACTCTGTCACCAAGGTCTAGCTCTGTGAAGCTCTCGTCAGCAGCGATGGTATCGATCTTAATATACTGGTTTTCTTTGATGTTCCTCCCATCTTCATCATCTGATTCGAAATAATACATGTTAAAAGTCTCTTTGCAAGTCCCAAGTCCTCCTGGAAGGCTGTTACAGTCCCTCAGGGTGAATTTGAGCTCAATGAAGATGCGGGATGCCCCTTCATTAGAGATCCAGCTGGTCAGAAGCCAGTTGTTCTGATTCTGTTCCATTACTTTGCATACTTGGTATGTGTGTATTGGAGCGTAGTTTTCGTCCACCTCACCAATTTCTTCCCACTGTATAAAAAGGAAGAGTATTACTTTAAAAAAGTTACAGCTGCCACAAAAATCTTAGCTTTCCCACCTAAGAGCACCTTGGGCTTCAGAGGTTCAGGAGGACTTTTAGGGGGAAATAATGTTTTAGATGTCAACATTTTCTATTCTGGAGGCTTGATACATTCCTGGTAAAGGCAGATAAAACACTCTTTAGAAATATAAAAGGATGCTAGTTAAAACCTTTTGTTTCAGACATTTCAGAAGAAGGAAAACATACTGCTGGGTTTGTCCACTAGTACTTTGTAAGGGAACAAAACAGAAAAGCAGATGGGGCCCTGAGCTGGCCTCTTCCAATACATCCACACATGAGAAGAAAGCTATTTACAATTCATCTGTCCCTGCTCACCCAAGCTCCTTTCTACCACATCCTCAAATCACTGCCCAATGCATGAGGGTGACCACATTTCTCCAAGCTCTTCTCCCCCACCAAACAGCTTGCCAGAAAATCAGCAGAGTGATACATGAAATAAAATGGGCCTTTGATCTCCCCAAGTGTGCTAGTCAGGAGTTCCTACTTGTGTGAAGAGATTACTTCCAATAAAACTTACAGGGCTCTGCAAATCTTGAGCTATTTGAGTGCTACACAGGTTTTTAAGCAATGCTCCAGATAACTTCCTGCAGCTGCTGGTGGGAATTGTAGCAACTGTTTTTTTCATTTTATTTTTGGCCACGCTTTGAAGTGCATCACTTGGAAGAGATGCTTTTTCCTGGTCCAGCACACCACAGTCAGTAGCACCACAAAAGTGTTGACAATACAGACATAAGATCCTCAAAGATAAGGTTGGGAAGTGTGGGTTAGGTGAGTGGACAGTGAGGTGAATTGAGAAGTGGCTGAATGGAAGTGCTCAGAGGGTTGTGGTCACTGGTGCAAAGTCTAGTTGGAGGCCCATAGCTAGTGTATTCCCCAGGGGTCAGTACTGGCTCCAGTCTTTTTACACATGTTCATCAATGACCTGGATGGTGGGACAGAATGTACTTTCAGCAAGTTTGCTGATGATAGAAAACTGGTAGGAGCAGATGATACACCAGAAGGCTGTGCTGCCATTCAGCAAGACCTGTACAGGCTGAAGAGTTGAGCAGAGAGGAATGTAATGAAGTTCAATAATGGCAGATGCAGGGTCCTGCACCTAGGGAAAATAACCCCATGCACCAGTACAGGTTAGGGATTGACCTGCTGGAGAGGAGCTCTGCAGAGAAGAACCTGGGAGTCCTAGTGGACAACAAGGTAACCATGAGCCAGCAATGTGCCCTTGTGGCCAAGACCAATACCATCCTGGGGGTACACTAAGAAGAGTGTGGCCAGCAGGTTGAAGGATGTTATCCTCCCCCTCTGCTCTGCCCTTGTGAGGCTACATAAGGAATGCTGTGCCCAGTTCTGGACTCCCCAGTACAAGATAGACAAGGAGCTACTGGAGAGAGTTGAGCAGAGGGCTACGAAGAGGATTAGGGGACTGGAGCATCTCTCTTATGAGGAAAGGCTGAGAGAGCTTGGTCTGTGTAGCCTGGAGAAGACTCAACTCAGAGGGGAACTTAGCAATGCTTATAAATACCTAAAGGTTGGGTGTCAAGAGGATGGGGTCAGACTCCTTTCAGTGGTGCCTAGAGACAGGATGAGGGGCAGCAGGCAAAAACTGGAGCAGAAAAAGTTCCATCTGAACATGAGGAAAAAATTATTTACTTTGACAGTAACAGAGCACTGAATAAGCTGCCCAGAGAGGCTGTTAAGTCTTTTTCTCTGGAGATATTCAAAACCTGAATGCAATCCTGTGTCACCTGTGCTAGGTGAAGCTACTTTGGCAGGGGGGATTGGACTACCTGATCTCCAGAGGTCCCTTCCAACTCCTGCCATTCTATGATTAATGTTTCCTCTCCGTTTTTCACAACCATAGCATCACCTTAAGAGATTAGATTAACCCACCTGAGTAGAGCAAAGAACTTGAGAGAACAAGAGATGGTTTCAATTTCGTTCCCTTCTGCTTCTGACCTACTCATCTGCAAGGATATAATTCCCAAAGCCTCTTCCACCCTTTGCTCAGCATTGCTGCCCACATTTAGTCACAGGTGCAGACACAGCACAAAGCAAACATACAGAACATAATTTAAAATTGCTCTGGTACAAAGTAACAGCTTAATTCCAAGCAGCCTATCTTCTAAGGCCAAAGGCCTATTTTCTTCACTGGCAATACAGGCCAACCTGAAGTTGAGAGCCTTCTCAAACCAGATGCCATTACTACAGAGGTGACAGGGGAGACACTCCAAGTCAACATAACAATTAAGTTTTTTTAAGGGAAATGCTGTTCTTAAATTTTAAATTAACATGGCAGCAACAAAGGGCATGAAAACATAACCTGATGCTACAGTCCAAAATAAGTTCTAAATACCACCAGCAAAAAAAAGCATTTTGTCTCCTCGCTGATCTGGGATGTGAAAGTGAGGACTTCGGAGTTTTCAGCATGACATGCCCACCACGATAGCCAGAGTGCACGGGCACCACCAGTCTTCTGAGTGAGGAACCTAACCTCAAGATACTTTTGTCATGCTAAGCAGTATTTTAATTTCTAAAACTTTTTTATGTCCCTGGGCTTAAATAGGCCAGAAATGACTGCAATGAAAGCTGGGCAGTTCTGTGCAAGATTCATGCCTTGCTTTAAGGAGAGGCAATTAACAATTACAAATAGTAGAGCCAGAGAGAAAACACAGAGGAAAAGTATGCAAGACAGCACAAATCTGCAGCTAGCTTCTCTATGTTCCAGGAAATTGATTTGGTTTACATACATGAGATTAAAAAGCAGAAAAACACCATTCCTCAACTGCTGTCATTAATTTAAGCACTAAATATGCTGTACATACACATGCTTCCAAGTGGATTAGTTTAACATGACACTACAGAAATGTGAAGTCTTACTTTTACCACAGTGGCAATTTCTCTTTTCATGAAAAGGGAGGGTATCCCTCCACTCTTGTGGACCCAGGCAGAGATCCCTGCTAAATCAGCCTGGGGGACAGGTGAACACATGCCAGGATAGCCCAGGCAAGATGATAATTACTTGAAATCTTTGCTTTTTCTGGTTGAAGTTCAGTGGATCACTTGAAAAATCACACACACCAACTGGCAAATACAGAGATACGGAGAAGTGTTAACCTCCAGCACAAGGTGGATAAAAGCATTTGAGGGCTGGATGTTGCTCAGACGAGTTTTAGCAACTGGGGCTGTGTATGGATTGCCACAAGGTACACGGTGTAGCTCCATACAACATTTAGGGAACATGTAACATGTATTTCTTACAGAGAACTGACATTTGCAGTAACATCATCAGTGGCCGAACTTGAAGGCATATTGAAAAACATGAATTCTCTTGTTTAGCACTTGCCAAATCAATTTTTGAAGACCCAACCATCATGGTCTCCAGAGTTAAAAAGTTAAGCTTCCTCCCATTGCTGCTCCAGGAGCTGCGTTAGTGGGAGCGAGTATAAAGAAAGCTCGTTTGTTCAAAAACTAAACCCAGTGATTCTAACGGTTGCTTTCATGCACTGATAGTACTAAACACCACCGTGTGGAGGAAGGTCCAAACATAAACACATCAACTGATCTGGAGTCTGATCTCAGCTGCAAGAAATGGCACGTGATCAGACATCTCAGGCTTCAGGATGTGCTGCATTTCCAGCACTGCACCCTGGATCACATCACCACCTGCCATTAAACCTAAAGCAATCTCCAGAGAACAGGAGGAAAGGGGGGTAACTAATGAGCAATGGCTGCTTATCTCAATATAATCCTCAGGGGAAAGCCAACCAGATTTTATCAGAATAACCACTATTGTGCAAAATCTCTGCTCTGTCATTTAATCCCACCATCTTCTCTCCTATCTGCATGTCCAAGTGCACCATTTGTTTCTCTTCAGCCAGGTCTGCCTCCCTCCAGAGACTGCAGGCAGCCTGCCACCCTTCTGCTTTTACATCCCTCCATGAGAAGGGGATGGGGGTGAGAGCCCCTGACCCTTCTGCCTGGCCTCAGCTTCCCAATCACTATAGACCTCATGTAAGTATTTTAACCAACAAAGGAATAAACTGAAAACAGGATGAAATGCAGCGTTACTGAAAGAGAAAACTCACCACATTGAAGAGACAGCATCTAGCTGAAAATATTGGCATGAAAAAAATAATCAAGCACAACCGAAAAACTGTAATATTAGAATTCCTTTCTGCAGAACATATTTTTGAGATATAAATCACCTCCATCTGCAGGATTAAAACAAAAATGCAACGATGAATTTGGTGCTAAATGTTTTCTCTAGGTCTTTAATAGCCCTAAGAAGGAAAACACAAATGCATTTCAATGGCCTGTTGTTAAATCATTTATAGAAGACCTATTTCTGAATCAGAAATTTCTAGTAGGCTACTGCTGGTGAGTTAACAGTCATTAAAGACTGCACTCAGCTCCATCAACAGGAAGGATGCAATTCTTGCAGGCTGTCTGCCTATAGAAAGGCCGAAGATATCACACATCTAACAAAAAATATAAGAGCTAAAAAAGCATTCAGTGGATCAGCCTTGAGTTAAATGGAAAATTTTAAAACACATTCACCAGCTGTCTGCTACTCAGGCTTTTTTCTAATCTCCAGGATTCCAGGACTGCAATTTTCTACCACAGCACAGTGAAAGGCTGCTGCCCCAAAAACAAATACTGGCAGTAGAGATGAAAATTTCAGAGCTTTTGTTTATTTGGTTTAGAGGGTGGGTTTGTTTGCTTTTGCAAGGATAATTTTTGTTACTGGTCTTCAGTAGCTCCCTGACTCTCTTTAGCAGCCATTAAAGGTGGTGTGGAAATTTCAAGCCTCTTTTCTGATTTCACATATCCTAGAATTGCTGAAAGACAAATCAGGCATTTAGCAAAATCCTAGAAGTCTTAAGAGGGAAAGGAAGCTCACAAGCATTAAGCAAAGGGGTTCTTAAGACTTACCTGGAACCTTCCTAGCAGGACTCCCTCCACCTCCAAGGATTGTGCAACATTCCTCTATGCCCACTACCTATTTCACAGGCTCTCTTGGCACAGAAGCCTCATCCTCTCCCATTTCATTTTCCACCCCCCCACGTGGAGATCTGCAACATATGCATGCTAATTTAGGTATCTGCTGGCACAAAGACATAAATCTGGAAAAGGATTGATGGATTTTCACCATTTATTTCTTTTTGGGGAGGGGCAAGCCTGGCACAGATCTTAGATCCCAGGCTTTCAATGTGTAGAAACATCTGAGATACTCCACACACTTTGTCCACAGACAGAGAAGGGTAATTTTACCCCCAAATCCTGCTCTCAAAGCCAATACAAGCCCACACTGGTGCACAGGAGAGCATGGCCTCAGGCTATGCAATCCCTATGCCAAGTTTAAAGGGCAGAACTGCTGCCCTTCCAGAAGGGGAGACCAGTTCAGTGTTCAGCTCTGTGCTATTTATCCTGCTTTTCATCCTGGAAATATTTAGGCAGTGTCTTTGTTTTCCTTTTATGCAGGTGCTGTTAAGACCTGGTTGCCAATCAATTGCCTCCAGCTCAGCTCCCGTACACACACTCCCTCCTGCTATTCAACTTCATCTCACAACCTGTTCCTTCCTTCCCTTTGCTGCTGCTCTCTCATCACAAAACCCAAAAACTTGGGATTTTAGTTCTGATTTGTTGGGGTTTTTTTAAGCTGCCTGCCGACTTTCCACCTGCTATCACATTACAAAGTTAAAGCAAATAGGAAGCAGGCACTCTGCACAGTTTCAGTGACTTCAGTGAGGTCATGTAAGGCTAAATCTCTAGTGAAAGCCAGGAAAACACTGCACATCTTTTCTTCTGCACTGCAGACGGTTTGGCAGGGCGGTGTTAGCTGTAAAATAAGGCTGAGTGTGTCACCATCTTCCCTGTTGCAAAACAACATTTACAAACACACAAGTCCCAAAATTCAGCTACTTCAAAGCCTGCCACAGATACTGCCAGTTTTATCAACAAGCTCTGCAATGCATGGCATTGCTCAGATTTTCAGCTCTGGAGCAGTATGAACAAAGGAAGGTCTTTGCTTGTGCTGCAGGTGTTTCAGTCTTCATTAAAAGAGGTTTATGCTTAGTCAAATAACAAGAACACAAATAAAAAGTACCCAAAAGCCATGTTATCTGAAGCTCCCTCTACAGTGACACTGACCTCAAGACTGGCAGGAGCAAGAGAGCTCTGTTTTGAATGCTGGCAGTGGCAAGAGGTACCTGTACAACCTATATGACCAACCGTTGCAGAGTCCAGCAGCACCTGATGGAGCACTTGGGAAGCCTGTTCTCCTTCTCACAGTGAGGGACAATGATGCAAACCACTCTCAAGCAGAAGAAAAATGCAGTAACCTGACACAATGCTGCAAGTCTGCAAGCTTGCTTTTCCTAGTGGAGGAGCAGTTCCACAAGAAGCACAGAGACATGGCAAGCAGCTCAAGATCTACAGAAGAAATGGTGCCCACTACATGCCATCTCCAGACAGAATAGAAGGCAAAATGGCTTTGCCCAGCTCTCTTCCACCACTGTCAGGTTGCCAGATCCTGTTTTACACAGAGCTCTTTAGCAACAATTTTTGGTCCCTGCCCATGGCAGGGAGGTTGGTACTAGATGATCTTTAAGGTCCCTTCCAACCCAAACCATTTTATGATTCTGTGATTTGTGCCAGCAGGACAACTCAGGCTTAAAATTCAAATTCTGCTCCTGGGCAGGATGCTTGCTCATTGGGACAGCCCTGCAGCATCCCCCCTCCTGCACCAACCAGACAGTGGAAGGATGCCAACCACAGCAGCATGTCTTTTTCCAGTAATTCACAGATTTGAAATACAAACAATCAGGAAACCAAAGCAATCTGTGTACTTGGAAATCAGTAAAGGGGAAAAGAGTGATTTTGACAGCCTCCCAACCATGTCTTTACTACCTTCTCTTCCTGAATTTAAACAAAATAGAGGGTAGGAAAAAAATATGAATATTATTCTAGAGTAACTGAAACTAGTTCCTTGAACCTAAAACACTTTCTAAAATTTCAGCTACCAAAACAACAACAAAACCCACTAACTGTTCTTTTCCAACACCAACATCCACTTTTATAAAGCAAAAGGTAAAGCTCAGCCTGGTTTTGGGGGGCAGAGGGTTGGAGCCCATTTTATGGGCAGGAGCCACTGTCAAAAGGAAACTGCAGCGAGTTAAATACAAACAATATTTAACCCAGTGTTTATTAAAACCTTTAAATACCAGAAGCAGTCGTAACTGCCTAGGATCTTACCATTTCCATACATCTGATACTGCCCCCACCCAAAACTCAAGCCTCATTTGGACGGCAGTTTTACAACTGCGACATTTAAACATACCAACATCTATTCCTACTGACAGCAGTTACTAGTCAAGCAAAAAACATAATAGAAAACAGAAACAGGATAGAGAGGATCTGATTAATCTCCCTATTCAGGCAGAAATTTGCTCTAATGAAATTGATTTTAAAAGCCGAGTTTCCAAAGAAGGAATGTAACACTTTCTGGTGGTTTGGCACATTCCCTTCAATTTGTCCAACAAGGAAAATAAATAAAAACAAATAAGAACACATCTTTTGGGCTACTCTTCTCATTTTCCTACTGGTTGCAGTTCTCTGCTGTTTCTTACCAAGCCACCCTGCTCTGGCCACTAAGCTGCACAGTCCAGTTAACACACAGCATCAGAATATCCTGAAGTGCATGTGAGTTTCCTCACTCATTACAAGAGATTTCTCAGCCAGAAGCTAAGGATCATTTTCATAAACTACAATGTAAGTGGGAGAAGTAAATTGCAAAGAGATATGAAGTGAAGTTTAAAGCATCTTTTTAAGACGTGCCACATGTGACTACTGAACTTTTTTCTCCATCTGTATGTTAACCAAACATTCACATACTCCCCGCTATCTCACATGATACTGGCCTAGCAGAAAGCAGATTTAAAAAGTACTTCCATTACCATCTCCTCCCACAAAAAAAAAACCCCGAAACAAACCTGAAAAAGCAAATTCTCACTGTAGCAAAGGAACAGCCAGACATGTGCTTCTGAATGACCGCTTGCAACATATAGGCAGAAAAAGGCAGTAAGAGGAGGAAAAGGACCTTATTCCATGTTAAAGGCTACTCACCACTGCATCAACATTTAACAAGGCTCAATGTCAACTCAATGCCAAGGCTTTATGTACCGTGCCCTGTGACAGAGGGCAGAAGAAGGATTAGCAAAGATGGGGGAATGATTAATGTTTGATCTCCACTCTGAAACAGAACTACACTGGAAATTAGTTGGGTCAATGTTCTAACACCATCATGCTCCGTCCCAGCTCCACTGTTGCCAACATCACACTCCAAAACTCAGTAACTCATCAATGAAATAATGCCAATCAAGGTTTTCACACAGTTATACTGCTCAGAGTTGAGCAAAAATGCCAAATAAGAAAGGCCCACCCTGAAACCTTGAGACTAAGCATGACTGCTCAAGAAGTGCTAGACGTGAAGACATATCAGAAGTCACTTAAGTTACGTACAGAAATTCATAATCACCAGCTCCTGTTGTGTAAAAATACGAATGTTCTACTTGAACAATTATTCAATATTGTTTTATATTTGTAATATACATGTGAAGTTTCCTGCCATGCCTTCTATTTCTGCCACAGGCTGTGCAGGAGACTTCTCAGTAAACTTTCCTTGATGTAATACAATGTAAAAGTTTTGACAATTCCTGGATTGCTCTGCACTACTGACAAGATGAGAAACAATGCAGGTTTCTGTAAGGTTTCAGATAGCATCTCAGAATACAACCAGTAATTTGCTAAACCAAGTCCCACCCAAGCAAGTCTGTAAGAAAAAAGAGCAATTAAAAAAAAAATTATTTGTAGTACATGTGTATGATGAAATACATAATCTGTTCAGAGAACTACACAATTCAAGCTGTTGAAAAATGAAGACACATCAGGACAAAGTCACCTAGACTTTTCAGTGCTGCACACCAAGGTGCAATGTTAAAAAATGAAAATGGGACAGAAATTTCGCTCAGACTTTGATCGTTTCAATGATCAATGAAAGATGTCAGGACCAGAATCCAAATGGAAGGAGGGCCCAGCTGGAGTTTAGTGCAACTGAAATGAAAAGGAGCATCAGCCCCTCTCCAGCATGCCTAATCAGAGACTGCTCTGACCCCTTCCCAGAACAAAGCAACGTGTTATTTGCAAACCCTGCCTCCTCCTACTGAATTTTTTTCCCTTTTAATTTTTTTTAAGGTTTGAAATTCTCTGTACATCTGAATTAAAACATCCATTTCAAACCACAGTCCAGCAATTGAGGGTAAGACAAAGGAGATGAGCATGAAAGAGGCAATGAAGAAACATAATACCATTAAATCACTTTTCACTGCTTAATGTGACACTCATTGCAGAACAATTTAACAAATGCTGTAACAAACAGTGTTGACACCACATGGTTTAGCACTGGAAGACTGACAGTGCCAGATTTTCAGAAGGACACACATTTTAGGATTGTAACCAAATGCTTGGATTTTCAAAGCTTTTGGGATAATGTTTGTGTTACTCATTATCAGATGACACTAGTGGGGTCATGGAATGATTTTCAAAAGTGTCAAGAAAGGAAGTTTTGTTTGTTACCTTAACCTTAATGTCATCCTAATATTTAAATAAAATCTATTTGGAACTTCTGTTTACTGCAATTGGAGTAGCATTAAGCATTTGACTTATTTTTAATGCACTCAACAGTGAAAATCTGCAAAATCAAAACTAAACCCTGCATCTTTATCATTGCCATCGACTACCTGTAATTTCCTGAAAATAAGGAAACATTTTAAACAGATTCCAGTAAGAGGGAGAAATACTTGATCAAAAAGTGTATTTAATGAAAATAAAATGGATCAAGCTTCTCAGGTTTCTAACATTTCAGACAAAGTGATACAATTATCTATGTGCTGTGCTGGCAAAGCCTAACCTCTCAGGCATCTACCCAATTTGACTAGATTATAGACAGCCCATACACCATATCAGGCCCTCCAGCAAATGCATTATTTTGCTTCTGCTCCCTGGTCTCTAATCTACCCAAAGCTTTTCACAGAGATAATATTACATTCATGGTTTAGGCCTTGACAACTGCACCCATATATCAATTTTAAATCTTGCATTAATCATCTTTCTGTAATCAGTGGCTATTCAGCACAAATTTACATCTCATTTCTGTTGGCCAAACAGCCACATTAGAGCTTTGAAGCTTATTCAGGCTTAAATGATTATATTCCCCTAATAAACACTGAAGTCTCCTCAGTCCAGCCACCGTGAGCTGCATTAATGACAGGCCATGGCAGCCGGGGCCACCCGAAGTCGGCCTTCTGTGATGCTACAAGCAACAGCCCCCCATGCCAGAGAGGGTTTTTGCATTTCCAGTACACTCAGAAGAAATGAGAAAGCTGATCTGCCTGTGCAGACCCTCCTAGCAGAACTGGCATGTACAGCAGGCACATACACTGTGCAATTGATTGCACCGCCTCCTAACAGCTCCATTTGCCACCTCTTGCATACATGAGGTTACCAGTGAGAAAACTGAAACCCAGATTTTCTGACTCCCTACATGCTGAGCACCTTATAACTGTCACCAAAAACAAAGCAAGCTGTTGAAGCTGAACCCTGTAGAAAATCCACTTTCCTCGTTTGTCACACAGCTGTTAACTTTGTTCACAGCACCACCAAACTGGGTTTTGGCATGCTTTTCTTTGATCACCTCAGAATTAGGCATCATATTTTTAATATCTAACTACACTTTTTTTCCTGTTTTTTTTTGGGTTGTTCTCACTGCTTTGTGTGACAAAGAATATCACTTGGGCAGGATTACAGTAAGCAGCTAAAACATGATCAGTTCAGGGTGGATTTTGCACGTTGTTGCCTGCAATCCCTATAGTGAAGCAATCTATCCTGATTGAACAAAGAATAACTATTTAAATAAAGATCCTCGGCAGGCCTACATTATTAAACCAGTATAAAAAGCCTCACATTGATTGCATATTCACTTTCAGTTAAGGTTTGAATCAGTATGCTAAGATGTAAAAATGAATGAACAGAACGAGTTTATTATGACTGTTGTTAAGTACTTACCCACTATAGGTAATTAATTATACATGTGGATGCTTGTTATGCTTATTCCACACCATAATAAAACTTTTAGTTACTTTTATTCTATGGGATTTCACTCCCACCACATCAGACTTATGTTACTATTTAAATATGGCACCAGAATTGCAAGGATGTAAACCTGTCAGACAGAGAGGCAACCTGGACCTCAATGTTTCTTTAAATCTGAAATTGAAGAAGCATGGATTTGGTTATTTGCTTTTGATGGATATCCTAAATCCTAACCATCTCAGAAAAGATACATTTCTGGAGAGGTTCCATACTTCATCAGCTATTTTTCTTCACCTGCAACCTCCTGCTACTCCACTCTCTTCTAGCATCTAACAACCACTGAAGAAACAATTGAATAGCAACATGTCATGGCTAGGGAAAGCAAATACAATTGTGTGCTAAATACTAGACTGAGATGTCTGTACTGCAAAAATACATGCTGCTTCAGCAACCAGCTGTGAGAGTGCAAAGTCTAGGAAAGTTGCTGAAATTTCCAGAAGAAACTGAAAAGATCTCAAATTATTTACCTAGCCAAGAGGTAAACCATGTCTTAACTGGATGGTAACCCTACAACACCTACATGAAGAGAAAATTTTTGTTATTAGATTGCTTTTCATCTAAACAACAAAAGATCCAGGAACTGAAATTAAACACTTTTGAAGAGAAGGTAAGATAACTTAGATACTATGATAAGTGCTGAGGGGTAAGCAAACCATTGGAGTAACCTGCCACAGGAGTTGAACCTCAACAATTTGACACCTACAAGGGGGATTTGGAGAAGTTTCAGAAGAAAATATCTGCTCAGGCAGCCTAGCCTATGGTGAGCCATGTGTATCCATCACCTAAGCAAGGCAGCTTAAAACTACCACCGTGAAATGAGTGAGTTGGTCTATTGTTAGGTCCTGGCCTGCACAATTAAGCTACAAGCTCATGCTATTGTTATTTTACATCAAGGGTGCACTGGGATTAACAGTGGGCTAGAAGTTGGAGTGGTAGAGTAGAAGGAATAGCTGAAAATACAGACATGGGAAAGGGCTAAGTTCCTTTAGGAAAAGAGGTTGCCATCAACTGACTCTTCCTCAAGCAGCACAATATTCAGTTAAGATGGGAAATGAAGAGAAGTGCGCAAAGCTACAGTCCGTCTGTCCCAGGTGGCAACGGACCTGTTAGGTTTGGCCACCTTAAACACACTCATCTGCTGTCCTGCACAGCTCCAGCCTTCAGTATTTCCTTAACAGCATCCAGATGAGAAGCCACTAACAGTCTGCCTTCACTTCTACCTGGCTTCCATCACAAGGACATTCTTCTCCTTGTGATCAATTTGCCTCAAAGAGCAAAGAAAAAGATAATGCAACACTTTACTAAGGCCACTTCCAAAAAGCCATTTTCGCTTCAAATGGCAACACTTCAGCTAGGAGAAATTGTAAAGATCCCAGTCCACTGTTGCTACTCAGGATAAAAAAAACTACTTTATAGCACAAATATCTCTTAACAAAACAAACAAACAAAGTTAAGAGAAGGCTGGGATGTGACTGACTTGCTTGTGGCCCCTATTGCCTGAATCAGGATGAGGGAAGGGGAATGAGAGCAGTGACTAGTTCATACTGGTAAAATTAGCAAGAAGAGGCATAGCAAGATCCACTGACAGAGAACTGAAGTTGGACCAATTCAAGCTAGAAAGATTAGTTTGTCTTAGAACAAGGACTACTTGCTGTTGGCACAAGCTGTAAGGGGATATGGTGGACTCTCCAGAAGAGGAAGACTAAATCAAAGAAATCCCTCTGCAGAAGATGTGCTGTAGGTCAAATCAAGGTTACAGACCTGCTGCAAGGACCCTTGAACAAGTTTCTGAACTGTACATACTATAGGATATTCAACTACATAATGTTAACAAACCAAAAACCTTAAGCTAACACATTCACAAATCTGGTCTTGTTTTTAAATAAGCAAATAATATATTATGCTTTTTTTTTTTTTTTTTTTTTTTCCCCAACTGATTGTTTTACTCCACCAGCAAGGAAATGATAACTCAGTAAGAAACAGCATGTCTAGAATGTCAATGATTTGCAATTAACATACTTGAACAGCAGGGAGTTGCTCAAATTTTTTCTTAATATTATTTTGATTACTTATGTATTTACTATAATATGAGACAAAAACAGCTCAGTACTCAGTTTTAAAACTGTGCAGAGCAGAGACAACAGGAAATTAAGCCAGCAATACCTTTGGCCACAACATTCTGTGTAAAAAAATTGTTTTCACCCTATTTTCTCTCTTCGCTGCTTTATTTTTGAACACACAAAACAAAGATTAGAAAAAAAGGAAGGAGACAGTCTGTTTTAAAAGGCAACAATCGATATTCGCTAACTCACTCCAAGTTCAAGAAAACACAGGATGCCTATGGCACTAGCAACTATTTTGTATCTCAGTTGCTTGCTTTATCCTTAATCGATGGGGACGCTACATGGCCTTACAGCAGGGACAGATTTACCAGGGAATTAATCTTGGAAAAGCCCTCTCATACAAAAAAGCTCATCACAGATTCTGGCTTCTGCCAAAAACCCTCTGCAACACTTGGAGAGATTCACAGGGACTTCACATCCAGCTCCAGCAAGGATGACATCTGCAAATAGCAGTCTTGGGGGATAACACCTCAGGTCAGCACTGGAGGAGCTAACCCTGCGAGCAGAAAACCTCAGGAGTAGCACTGTGCTCAAAAGGGGCAGGGAAAGA